GGGGAGAAACTTAAGATATAATAAGGGAGCAAACAAAAAACTATGCAGAGAAAAAGACAAGAAGGAAATTCACTAAAATGGCAGAGTCTAGGAGTGGATTTGGAATGATTTTTTCCTTTTATTTTTCTATCATTTCCAAACTAAGCTCCATATGAATGACTTTACACCAATACCAAACTATAAAACAAAGCTTTAAAAAATATCTTATTTAAAGAAAATACCCTGGTGCATACCTCTTGTGAATAGTGTCTGTCCTGGAGAATCCATAGAAGTTTATAAGCATTCCCATAAGCTCAGGCAGACACAAATCTTCCTTCTTGCACAGAGTTGTCACGCTTTGTGCCAAGTGACCCTGCCACCCTTGCCACAATCCATCGAACCAGGAAACCCTGTTAGAGGTAACAGCTCCAGCAGACTGGGTAGAAGAAAGCCCAATCACCTATGAGAAGCCTTGACCCAAGGCATGTCAAATAGAAGCCTTTGATATTGGAGAGTGACAAACAGGGTCAGTCAGGAATTGTGCATGTAAAAAACTCCCTGAGGAAGCATCTCTGTCCACCCCTGAGAGATTAACAAGGACACCCAGCCCTTCAGCAACTGTGAATCTCCAAAGGTGAGTGGTATTATTGTGGTTTTCCACAAAGCCACAGAGAAGGCTTTCCTTGCTCCTTCATTCTCTTACATAAAAACTTACAATGCATAGTGATCTCGACAGAGTGTGACCCAGTGTCTACACAAAGCTTGTCTTTGTGTCAGTGTGTATAGTAGACATACAGGCAGCTAGAACCCTCTTTCTTCTCCTCAATGGTCCCAAAGGATACTCCATAGAAGAGTGGCTTGGAAAACTTGTTAAAGTTCCAAATGCCAAGCTCCTCCACAGATAGTCTCATTGGATAGTCTTGGGGAGTGGGGCACTCAGGGGTTTGTATTTAAGAGTTTCCAAGTAATTCTGTCGCATAATTTGGTTTTGGAACCATTGTTTTACCCGCTACTGGAATAACTGTACCCTCATGCTCTAACTCTGAAGTAATCCTTAACAATATGAGGTATCCTCAGAAAATTAAATGTAGAGGTTGTCGTGTGATTCAGCAATTCCATTTCTAGGCATATACCCAAAAGAATTTAAAGCAGGGTCTCAAAGAGATACTTGTACATCCATAACAGCATTATTCACAATAGCCAAAAGGTAGAAAGCAACTCAATTGACTGTCAATGGATGAAGAGATAAATAAAATGTGGTATACACATACAATGGAATATTATTCAGCCTTAAAAAGATAGGAAATTTTGACACACGCTACAACATGGGTGAGCCTTTAGGACATTATGCTAAGTGACATAAGCCAATCCAAAAGGGACAAATACCATATTATTACACTTTTATGAGGTACCTAGAATACGCAAATTCACAGAGACAAAAAGTAGAATGATGGTTGCTGGGAACTGCAGGAGTGAAGAATGAAGAGTTATTTATTAATGGATATGGAATATCAGTTGAGGAAGATAGAAAAGTTCTGGAGGTGGATGGTGGTAATGGTTGTATAATATGAGTGTAAATACCACTGAACTCTACATTTGAAAATGATACATTTTATGTTTTATATGTATATTTTATGTTTATATATATAAAAAACATGACAACTGCCACTTGGCACATAAAATATATATATGTATAAAATGCTTTATATGTATCTCTCTCTATATATAAATACATATGTATCTTTTGACACACACACTTACACATTCAGCCACATACCATCAGCAACCACCAAACAAATCATGAGATATTTTTTCTAGCAAGGAAATAAGCTGCCCCAAATAAATCATAGCCAATAAAATAACTTTTTGGGGGATACAAAACACTGTCAGAGATAAAAATCTCTAGGAAATAAAATTAGTACAAAACAAACATCATATCAGGGTCACTCATCATAAAATAAACAGAGAGAAACAGGAAGTGGGAGACTAAAATACATCTTCTATTTAAAGGAAAACATAATTCCCAAAAGTTTACAAACAAGTCTTTCTGGATCATTAAAAACAACTCTGAAATGTTGCAGTTTAAAGACCTTAGAATACCATCTCCATTCCCCACTTCCTGAAGCGTGCGTTTACTTCCTCTCATAAAATTAATCTTTTTTGAATGTTCAAATATATTTGGCGAGTCTGGTGGGCGCCTAGCAGAAGAGCCCTGTTTCAGCTGGGAAATGCTTCAGGGTGGGCAGGACTTGCTATAAACAAGATGGAGACAGACAAGATGGGGAGCAGGGGAGACTGTCATCTATGATGCTGCAAGTAGGAGGAGAGGAGGCATTTGGCAGGAGATTCCACAAATATGAAAGTCTGCTATTAGGATGCTAAGCTGCTAGTCATTGTTTTCACAGACAGTGAGACCAAAAAAAGTCAGCTTTAAATACAGTATGAGTGATGTTTAAATGAGGTGAAAATTCAAAACAACAGTGGCTTTAAAAACACAGAAGTTTTTATTTTCTTCATGTAACAGAATCCAGAGGTAGGGAATGATGTGGCGACTATGAAGTTGTCAGGAACTCAGCCTCCTTCTGTCCTTCTGTCTTGTTGTTCTGTCATTCTCACTTCTTGGGTCAATGTGACTATTTGACTATTTAAGCTTTGGCCATTAAGTTCTATTCTGACCCCAGGGAAAGAGGAGGGGTGAGGAGGCCCACTCCTTCCAGTAACCGAAGCTGTATATGGCACTCCCATTTATAGCCCAGTGGCCAGAACATAGTCTCATGGCCACACCTAACTGCAAGAGAGGCTAGAGGCTAGAAAACGTGGTCTGTATTCCAGGGAGCTGTTTACCCAGTTTAGATAGGGAAAACTAATATTGAGATAGAGGATTTGCAATCTTCAGCACTGGAAAGTTAGGTCAGAAGATAGGACTCTGAGAGTCTTTTTCAGTCCAAGTACTGTAAACCTTTTACATGAGACACTTCTAGATGCTCTGGCTGAATCACTTCACTTAATCCTTATAACTTCCCTGGGTTTATGGTCTCATTTCCACTTTACAAACAAAGGCACTAAGATTCTAAGAATTTATGTCACTGAATCCAAAGCAGCTCCATAAATTGTGCTATTGGCCTCCAAGTTCTTCAGGATCAGCCCTGTGTGTTCCCAAAGCCCCTTTCCCTGTGGCACCAAGAGGTGGTAAGTAGAGTCTAGCCAGGGGACAGCTGCCTTGGTCTATCGTAGGTCTCTCAGCTGTAGGCATGGTCACTTCTAAACACATATGTCTTCTCGACTCCACATTCTGCCATGGAGGAGGCCAGGAGCCTGTTGCACAGAAACTACGCACATCATCTCAGCTCTCCTTTTACCTAGGAGTCTTGAAAACCAAGGCTGGTCTGCTGGCTTACTTGGGTTTTGAACTGATGTTAGCATTCTGGAGTGGACTTACTCATTCTCGGTTTGACTGCTGCACTCTCTTTTGAGAACATGCTTGTGCTAAAAGATATGTGTGTGTGTGTGTGTGTGTGTGTGTGTGTGAGAGAGAGAGAGAGAGAGAGAGAGAGAGAGAGACAGAGAGAGACAGAGATGTTTATTTGTTTATTGCAGGCCTCAGAGGACCAGAGGAAAAGGGGCATCAACCACAGAGCTGGGTCCTGTCCAACCCCACACACCTGCTGCCCCACCGTGCTCGTCCCCCAGTGCTGAGACATCTGTTGTCAGGAGATAATACCTGAAACCAACAAAGCTAAGAAGAAGTCTCCTTTTACTGGCTCTATTCTCTCTTGACAGATTATATTGGTTCTTTTCATATTTTCAAAGAACCCTCTTGGGGGATTAGAAAATTTAATGTTTAAGTCACCGAGGATGAGAAATAAGCCAAGAAGAGCATTTTTGAAAAGGGACAGGTGGCCTGATTTTGTTCCTGCCTGAGAGCTGCTCACTCCATCCCAACACTCAGAGGGGAAGGTTTCTCCTTAGGTCGCTGGCTGGGTGCAGCCTGGAAGTTCTGAAAACACAGATGTCTCTGTATTGCTGTGGAAAGACCATGGAGGCTTCCTCTCAATTCCACAGCAAAGTCATTCCATGGGAGTTTGGAGCTGACTTCCTTAGAAGCACAGTTCCTGTGAAAGAGGATAGAATCTTGGTTACCTCTTCCTTTCACAGGCCTCCTTTCTTTCCTGAACTACACCTCCACCGTCTTGCCTTTTGACCGCTAAGTCAGATCCTTCTGAAAAGCTCTTAATTTCTGTTTTTAAATATCTTTTCAACAAAAAACATACAAGTAAACACTTATTTGTTATAAAAAGTTTAGAAAATAGATAATTTCTAAAAGGAAAGAAAAATTGCCTGTTTTTCTATTTCCCGGGGATCATTGTGGCTAATTTTTAATTTATTTTTCAGCACTATATGTACGTATTATATATATAAGCATGTGTGTATATAAAGCTTTTTTTTAAAAGGAAAAGTCGACCGGGCATGGTGGCTCATGCTTATAATCCTAGCACCTTAGGAGGCAGAGGCGGGAGGATTGCCTGAGCTCAGGAGTCCGAGACCAGCCTGGGCAACATGGTGAAACCCCATCTCTATTAAAATACAAAAGAAATTAGCCGAGCGTGGTGGCCTGTGCCTGTAGTGCCAGCTAGTCAGGAGGCTGAGACAGGAGAATTGCTTGAACCCAGCAGGTGGAGGTTGCAGTGAGCCGAGATTGATCTACTGCGCTCCAGCCTGGGTGACAGAGTGAGACTTCATCTCTACAAAACAAAACAAAACAAAAAAGCTAAAGTCGAGTCTGGCTATTTTATAACTAATTTTGGCATCTTTCTATGTTAATAAATATATATTTGAAATATTGTTCTTAATGGCTGAAGATATTCCATTCCATCACCATTTTAAAAAAATCCCCTCTTATTGAGTGATAAGATTAATATACTGCTCTAGTTTTTAAATGATTTTTATAAACAAGATCTTATGGCACATTCTTGATTGTTTCCTTAGAATAAACTCCTAGAAGTAGAATACTGGGCAAATGCTTTGCAAGTTTTTAGGAGTTTTTGATATATGTGGTCAAATAACCTATAGGAAAGTTGTAATAATTTACACTCTTGTCTACGGTATCTGAGGGGATTCCCTACATTCTAGTTTATGGTGGACACTATGTTTTTCTTTAAAGTTCTGGAAAGTCAATTATATGCTCTAATCTTTTGGAACAGAACCACAATTATAGATCTGTCCTGTACAGAAAACTTTTCTTCCACGACAATGCCATCTGAGAACTCAGAACCGAAGGCTACCAAAAAAGGAGCCAAATTAGAACCAAATTCAGACATATCCGTTTTCCAGTACATCCTTTCATTTCTGTCAGCCTCTGAACACACATCTGGCCAAACAACTGTCTGTAATTTGTGACCTAGGCTGGATTCAGTGCTGACCTAGATAGAGAATACGTTTTATTTCATTACCAGCTCTCTGAACCATCTGGTCCTGGCTAAACAGGTTACCCACACAGTTGGAACCTTCATCAGTCAACTAGCTTTTCTCTTGCCAGTTTGTTAATAAAAAAATATTTCCTATCTTGCTCTTTATTTCAAAAAAGAAGGCATGATGACTTTTTTTTTTTTTTTTGCCTGATAGCTAAGTACCTTATTTTTTTAAATCTTGACAATCCTACAGATTCTATCACAGCACCCGAAAGCTCTGAGAGGATGGAAAGAGAGAAGGGAGAAAGATCGAATTTCTGTGGTCACAAGGACTTGGACCTGAGGAGTTGCCTCTGCGTGCTATCAAGCTTATTTAAATATTTGAAATATTTGTGGTTGAGGAGGAAATGCCAATTATCTTTAAAAATGAGATTCTGCTCTTGGCTACAAGTGTTTTTCCAAAATCCGAGGATTAAAGCAAACTGTTTTTCCAAGCTCATGAGCTATTTTTATCTGCAACAATATGGAGCACATACACCTGTTTGCACGCACATCAATGTGCCTGGACGCTTGTGTTCATCATCTTGAAGGCAGAGCTATGAGACAGTAAGATTTGTATCTTAACACTTACGTGGAAGTTTATTGCTATGGGATGAAGGACTATCTTCTTTTATAGTTACACATTTTCTCATATGCTGTTTTGGGATCTTAAAATCAGTCACAGGAAACAAATTAGACCTAGTTTTGTTTTTATTTTATTTTTTAAAATTTCAGTAGCTCTTGGGATACAAGTGGGTTTTGTTTGCATGGATGGATTCTATGGTGGTGAATTCTGAGATTTTAATGCACCGTCACTGGAACAATGTACATTGTACCCAGTATGTAGTCTTTTATCCCTTCCCCTGCAACCTCTCCCAACCCTGAATCTCCGAAGTTCATTGTATCACTCTGTATGTCTTTGCGTCCCCTTAGCTTAGCTCCCGTTTATAAGTGAGAACATATGGTATTTGATTTTTCATTCCTGAGTTACTTCACTTAGAATAATAGCCTCCAGCTCCATCCAAGTTGTTGCAAAAGACATTATTTCACTCCTTTTTTAGCTCAGTAGTATTCCATGGTGTGTATATACCACATTTTCTTTATCTGCTCATTGGTTGATGGGCACTTAGGTTGGTTCCATTTCTTTGCAATGTGAATTGTGCTGCTATACATATGCGTGTGCATGTGTCTTTTTTACATAATGACTTCTTTTATAACTTTAATTTTAATTTTATTTTAAGTTGCAGGATACATGTGTAGAATGTGCAGGTTTGTTACATAGGTAAACGTGTGCCATGGTGATTTGCTATAGCTATCCACCCATCACCTAAGTATTAAGTCCAGCATGCATTAGCTATTTTTCCTGATGCTCTCCGTTTCCCCACTGCCCTGCCAACAGGCCTCAGTGTGTGTTGTTCCCTTCCCTGTGTCCATATGTTCTGATTGTTCAGCTTCCACCTATGAGTTTGGTTTTCTGTTCCTGTGTTAGTTTGCTGAGGATAATGGCTTCTAGTTCCATCCATGTCCCTGCAAAAGACATGATCTCATTTTTTTGTCATGGCTGCCTAGTATTCCATGGTGTATATGTACCACATTTTATTTATCCCGTCTATCATGCTGGTGGGCATTTGGGTTGATTCCATATCTCTGCTATTGTGAATAGGGCTATAATGAACATACACATGCATATATCTTTATAATAGAATGATTTATATTCCTCTGGGTATATACCCAGTATCGAGATTGCTGGGTCCAGTGGTATTTCTGGTTCTAGGTCTTTGATGAATTATCACCCCATCTTCCACAATGGTTGAACTAATTTACATTCCCACCAACAGTATGAAAGCATTCCTGTCTCTCTGCAGCCTCGCCAGTATCTGTTGTTTCATAACTTTTTAATAATCACCATTCTGACTGGCGTGAGGTGGTATCTCATTATGGTTTTGATTTACATTTCTCTAATGATCAGTGATGTTGAACTTTTTTTCATACGTTTGTTGGTCACATAAATGTCTTTTGAGACGTGTCTGTTCATGTCCTTTGCCCACTTTTTAATGGGGTTGTTTTTTTTTTTCCTTATAAATTTGTTTTAGTTCCTTGTAGACTCTGGATATTAGACCTTTCTCAGATAGATAGGTTCCAAAAATTTTCTCTAGTTCTGTAGGTTGTCTATTCACTCTGATGATAGTTTCTTTTGCTGTGCAGAAGCTCTTTAGTTTAATTAGATCCCATTTGTCAACTTTTGCTTTTGTTGCAATTGCTTTTGATGTTTTCATCATGAAATCTTTGCCTGTGACTATATCCTGAATGGTATTGCCAAGGTTTTCTTTGAGGGTTTTTATAGTTTTGGGTTATACATTTAAGTCTTTAATCCATCTTGAGTTAATTTTTGTGTAAAGTATAAGGAAGGGGTTTGGTTTCAATTTTCTGCATATGGCTAGCCAGTTCTCCCAGCATCTTTTATTAAATAAGGAATCCTTTCCCCATTGCTTGTTTTTCTCAGGTTTGTCGAAGATCAGATGGTTGTAGATGTGTGCTCTTATTTCTGAGTTCTTTATTCTGTTCCATTGGTCTAGGTGTCTGTTTTTGTACCAGTACCATGCTGTTTTGGTTACTATAGCCTTGTAGTATAGTTTGAAGTCAGGTAGCATGAAGTCTCCAGCTTTGTTCTTTTTGCTTAGGATTGTCTTGGCTATATGGGCTCTTTTTTGGTTCCGTATGAATTTTTAAATATTTTTTTCTAATTTTGTGAAGGATGTCAATAGTAGTTTGATGAAAATAGTATTGAATCTATAAATTACTTTGGTCAGTGTGGCCATTTTCATGATATTAATTCTTTCTATCCATGAGCATGAAATGTTTCTCCATTGTTTGTGTCCTCTCTGATTTTCTTGAGCAATGGTTTGTATTTCTCCTTGAAGAGGTCCTTCACTTCCCTTGTTAGCTGTATTCCTAGGTATTTTATTCTGTTTGCAGCAATTGCAAATGAGAGTTCATTCATGATTTGGCTGCTTGTCTATTGTTGGTGTATAGGAATGCTTGTTATTTTTGCAGATTGATTTTGCATCCTGAGACTTTGCTGAAGTTGCTTATCAGCTTAAAAAGCTTTGGGGCTGAGATGATGAGGTTTTCTAGATAGAGGATCATGTCATCTGCAAACAAAGACAGTTTGACTTCCTCTGTTCCTATTTGAGTACACTTTATTTCTTTCTCTTGCCTGATTGCCCTGGCCTGAACTTCCAATACTATGTTGAATAGGAGTGGTGAGAGAGGGCATCCTTGTCTTCCGCCGGTTTTCAAGGGGAATGCTTCCAGGTTTTGCCCATTCAGTATGATAATGGCTGTGGGTTTGTCATAAATGGCTCTCATTATTTTGAGGTATGTTCCTTCAATACTAGTTTATTGAGAGTTTTTAACATGAAGGGGTGTTGAATTTTACTGAAGGCCTTTTCTGTGTCTATTGAGATAATCATGTGGTTTTTTTCTTTAGTTTTGCTTATGTGCTGAATTACGTGTATTGGTTTGTGTATGTTGAACCAGCCTCACATTCCAGGGATGAAGCCTACTTGATCATAGTGGATAGGCTTTCTGATGTGCTGCTGGATTTAGTTTGCCAGTATTTTACTGAGGATTTTTACATTGATGTTCTTCAGTGATATTGGCCTGAAGTTTTCTTTTTTTGTTATAGTTCTGCCAGGTTTTGGTATCAGGATCACGCTGGCCTCATCAAATGAGTTAGGGAGGAGTCCCTCCTTTTCAATTGTTTGGAATAGTTCATATAATGACTTCTTTTCCTTTGGGTAGATACCTAGCAGTGGGATTGCTGGATCAAATGGAAGATCTACTTTTAGTTGTTTAAGGAATCCCCATGCTATTTTCCATAGAAGTTGTACTAATTTATGTTTCTACCAGCAGTGTAAAAGTATTCCCTTTTTACCACATTCATGCCAATATCTATTGTTTTTTGACTTTTTAATTATAGCCATTCCTGTAGAAGTGAGGTGGTATCTCTTTGTGGTTTAAATTTACATTTCCCTGATGATTAGTGATGTTAAACATTTTTTTATGTTTGTTGGCTGTTTGTATATCTTCTTTTGAGAAATGTCTATTCATTAGACCTATTTTTAGAACTCTCCGTTGTTAATTGTGTTGTGTTTTTATGGTCTCTATGCTTTTGCTCATGCATTTACTTAATCATACAAAAATCCTTATTGAGGGCCCAGTTTGAGCAAAGCCCTCTGTTGAGTTCTGTGGAAGGCATCAAGACAGAAGCCCTAGTCCAGCTCTTTCATCTACCAGTTGATGAAGGAGTCTTAGTTTATACACCTTTAAAACAAGACACTTGTGCTTACTATCCCACTGGGCATTAACTTCCCTACACTGTGAGCTCCTCATGGCAGTGCACCTTTTCATATACCTGCTGACCATTTGTCTGTCCTTTCTGGGAAAATGTCTGTTCAGGTCTTTTGCACATTTTAAAATCAGATTATTTGTGTTTTGTTGTTATTGAGTTGCATGAGTTCCTTATATATTTTGGGTATTAACCCCTTATCAGACATACTGTATATATGGTTTGCAAATATTTTCTCTGGATCCATAGCTTGCCTTTTCATTGTGTTGATTGTTTCCTTTGCTGTGTAGAAGCATATGTGGTGATGGCAAAATCCTGGACAGTCCCTAGTTAGCATCCAATGCCACAAATCAGAGACATGTGACTCACTCTGGAATGAGGATGATCAAAGCCTTCATGGAACTGTCCACCCCAGCTATGGATGCAAGCATAAGTAAGCCTGGCAGATGCTGAAGTCACACCAGAGGTGTCTGATTCAGCACCTCACACAATTTATAGTCATATGTTTGTTGATATTTTGAAATGTTTTATTATGAAAACTTTCAGATGTACATGATATAGACAGAAGAGTATAATGAAACCTCAGACACTCATCACCCCACTCGACAGTGATAATACTGCCTCCCATTACTCCCTGCCCTTGAATCCCAGACATTCTGCCATTCCATCCCTTACGTGTATCTAAGGTTTATAAGGACTTTTTAGAAATGTAACCACCGTGCCGTTATCCATCCTCACAAAGTTAATAATTATTCCTTAATATTAGATTAGTTCTTTCAAAGATATCTCTTTAGGGTTTTGTTTTTTTTTTAAATCAGAATCCAAACAAGGCTCATTCATTTCATTCAATTGTCATATGTTTAAGTCTCTTTTATTCTCTAATAGTTCCCAATCCTGACTACATCAAACTGAAAAGCTTCTGCACAGCAAAGGAAACAATCAACAAATGAAAAGACAACCTATGGAATTCAGAGAAAATATTTGCAAAATGTACATCTGATCAGGGATTAATATCCAAAATATATAAGGGACTCATACAACTCTATAGCAAACAAAAACAAATAATCTGATTAAAAAATGGGCAAAGGAACTGAATAGACATGTTCCCAAAAAGGACATACAAGTGGTCAGCAGGTACATGAAAAGTTGCCCAACATCACAAATCATCAGGGAAATGCAAATTAAAACCACAGTGAGAGAACATCTCACACCGTTTAGGATGACTGTTATCAAAAAGACAAAAGATAAAAAGTGCTGGTGAAGTTGTAGAGAAAAGGGGACCCTTGGATACTGTTAGTGGGAATAGAAATTGAAACAGCCATTATGAAGAAACAGTAGGGCATGTTCCCAAAAAATTAAAAATGGAACTACCATATGATTCAGCAATCTCACTTCTGTGTATATATCCAAAGGAAATAAATTTAGCATGTTGAAGACATATCTACACTTCCATGTTCATGAAAGTATTATTCATAATAGCCAAGATATGGGATCAACTTAAGTGTTTGTTAACAGATGAATGCATAAAGAAAATGTAGTAAACATACACAATGGAATACTATTCAGCCGTAAAAGAAGAAAATCCTGCCATTTGTCCCAACATGATAAACCCAGAGGATGGTATGTTAAGTGAAATAAGCCAGATACACACAAAAATATTGCATGATCTCACTTTATTGTGGAATCTAAAAAAGTCAAATTCATAGAACCAAAGAAGAGTGGTGGTTACCAGTGTTAAAATAGTTAAAATAGTCAGTTGGGAGGTCATTAGGCTAAGGAGGTAAGGCTTTGGGTCTTACCTGATCTTAACCAAACAGAAACTGCCAACAAATCTCTAATTAGGGATTTTCCACTGAAATAAGGCTACTGCTCCACTTTAACCAATCAAATATTTTCTTTGCCTTACTTTCGTGCTTATCCTATAAAAGTCTTCCTTTTGTGCCTCTGCAGGGGAGTCCCCAAACCACTAATGGTCTGGAGTTGCCTGATTAATGAAGCGCTGTCTGTTCAAATAAACTCTTTAAAATTTTAATGTGCCTAAGTTTACCTTTTAACACCACGGATAGGGAGTGCAGCAAAGGAAATGGAGAGATGAAAGGATGAATAAGTTCTGGAGACCTAATGTGCAGCAGGGTAGCTGCAGTTAATAATACTGTATTGTATATTGACATTTGTTAAGAGAGTAGAACTTTAAGTGTTCTCCACACACACACACACCCACCCACACACAACTATGCAGAGTGATGGATATGTTAATTAGCTTGACTGTAGTAATCATTTTACTATATGTATATATCAAAACATCACATTGCACACCTTAAATATACACAATTTTTATTAAAAACAAAAACATTTCTCATTCCTTTTTGTTTCTTTTCCATGTTATTGATTTGCTGAAGAAACTTGGTCATTTATCTTGTTGAATGTCTCACAATCTAGATTGGGCTGATTGCTTATTTGCAGTGTTGCTTAATTTGTTCTTCAGTCCCCTATATTTCCTGTAAACTGGTAAGAGATCTAGAGGCTTTTTAAAATTCAGGATTAATTTTTCAAAGGCAAGAATATGTCATAGTTGGTGTTGTGTATTTCATGTTGCCTCACCTCAGTAGACACATAAGGCATGGTTATCTCACTAATAGTGATAGATGAGTAGGTTTAGATGGTGTCAGCCTCACTGCTTTGTTATGAAATTCCCCATCAACATTTCCTCTAAGGTTTTCAGCATCCACTAATAATTGTTTCCTAAATTAATTATTCCACTAAAGTCACAAATAGAATTATATCATTCCTTCTGCATTTAATAGTGGAAATTTTTCTGTAAAGAAATTTTCCCAGAAACAATGCAATTATCCAGAAATACAGTTATACAGACTAGAAAGTTAAAATAAATGTTTTTCTTTCTGTCTGTTTACCAATTTTTGAAGTAATGAGCTGAAGCCCTAGCAACCTCTAGTGGAGAACCATGATCTTTTCCTTTCTTTTCTTTTTTTAAAGTATTATTTTGAACTCATGGATTTTTATATTGCTGTTTTAATCTACTGTTATATTTTTTGTTGTTGTTGTTGTTGCTAAGAATTTCCAGTCTTCAGGAGTGGAAACTCTTCAGGTTGACCTCTGGGTATCTCTTACATAGTCTTCATATATATTTTTTTTCTGGCACAAGATGTCCCAGGCTCATCTTGTACATTTCCTACTCACCCTTGGAATCAGTCACCTCTCCAAGGAACTCTGCCTCTCATATTGATAAATGGTATTTAGAGACCACAATCTGGGCACTAGGGGTGCTTGTCATCATCAGACTTTTTCAGTGGATGACACTGCAAATAAATATTTTTTAGAGGGAAATAATATAATTTCATACGCTATTTCCAATTCAAATTTCAAATTACAGAGTTTCTACTTAACCTTATTTCAATATGTAGATCTACTAAAATTTATTCAACTGGTCCCCTATTGCGTGATTATTTGGTTAATGCCTGTCTCTTGCCAGACTCAATGTTCTCTATGATGGCTGCTTTTACTTCCTTTTGTGTCCCTTGTTCTTAGCACAATGCCTAGAACATAGTGGATGCCCAAACATGTGTGGGATAAATGGATGCTAGAATGTGTGAAGGTCACTTCTAGCCCTGGAATTCTAGCCTCCCTAGACCCAGCTATAACTCACTAAGTAAACTCACCTTCAAAATCACTGGAATTCCTAAACCTGAGAGTTTACCTCCACCCTCTAAGTAAGGAGAGACCCCCATGAGAGATTCCTGGCCATGTCCCAGGCAGAGGGAACTCAGGGGGCTGAGGCATGGAAAAGGCAGAAAAAAAGGAGAATGCTAGAGAGAGAGAGGCCATCAAATGGGAAATAGAGAAATTGATCACACCTGCCTCTGGCCCTCCATGTATGTTTTGCTCAGTTTAACCCAAGACTGTTTTCTTTCCCTTCAAGGAGTAGCTGTGCTACAGGCCTTCTAGGTGCTACAGGCTGCAACAGAGGGGGCCTATTGAGGTATTTTTCTGTGCCTTTTGTGGTGATTTTGATCTTTTGTGCATTCCCTTCTGACACTCACAAGGAAGACTTGTAGAGTGTCTAATTGTTTACGAGACCATGGACCCTGACAGTGATTTCAAGAGTCTGCAAATGATGTGCTTGAGGTTTTACCTTGATGAAGTGGCTGAGCTGGGACTTGAACAGATGCCCCTGGAATGCTGAGTGTCTTTCCCTCTGATTACCTTCTTCCCCACAAGATTCACTTCAGATAAACAAGAGGGGCTTGGGCACCACTTTCTTTATGCCCCAGTGATTCTTCTTCCCAAGAACTTATTTGAGACTGCCAGTTGCATTTGCCTTCGTTGTAGTCAGTGTCCTGTGGAAAAAGGTTGGCTGGTTATTCAGAGTGGAACGAAAATTTCTTAAAGCCTCCTTTTCCCAACTCTTGTTAATGAAGGCTTTTGTACTGCCCTGGGGTACCTCCTTGGTGCATATTTCTTGTTGATGTTATTATTGTTGTTTGTTTGTTTTCCTTTTTAATTTACAAACAATATTTTCTGCAATTCTAGGAGTGATATGTGCGAGAAGATCAGAAGATTGAGAAGATTAGAAAAATGGAGAAAAGCATAAAGAAGAAAAGAAAACTTGTCTGGTCTCCCACCACCCCGAGTTGTGGTGAGGACTTGGTGGGCTGCCTTCTGTATCCTTGCCCCCTGTGCCCTCCAGATCCATGCCCTGTGCTGCTGTGTGCCTGCAGCCTCATCAGCAGGCCCTGTACCCTCTTGTATGGCTGTGTTTGGCTACTTGGAAGGCCTGGCAGAGGGAATGAGAGCAAAGTCAGTGAAATTTTTCCCCTGCCCCCCTCCCTGCAAGGTCACCTTGTTGCAGATCGCTGCTTCTCTCAAGACTCAGGAGCCTAATGAGACACTGTCTCCTGCTGTGCTCTAGTTACTGTCCCTTACCTCCCTCCTTTAGGTGTAAGGATGGTAAGGCCATAGCAACTGCACTTTTGGTTGTGCCCCTACCCACCTGCACTTTTGTAAATATTCCCTCCCCAGGTCATCCTGTATTGAGCATGCCGTCTGTTTTCTATTGGGAATCTGATTGATTTATTTCCTGACTCACATTTCAAGGCCTTCCCCCTGAAGCTCCTATTGCCATGAGCTTTCCTGAGGTTTCCAGGCCATGCGTGGTATCTAGAATAAACGTGGGGGGCCGAGGAGAGAAGGCCCTTAATTTCCTGACTCTTCCCTGGTACCACCCCCAACATGATCATGCACAGAGCAAAGCCCACATCCATGTCTTGTGATGTGAGGGATTCCACATCTCTACCCACTCCCAAGAAGCACCAACTCCTGCTGCTATTATCCCTCTATTAAAGTCACTCTGTTGGTTACCTGAATTATCTCCAGAAGGTCCTCTGCCAGTCGAAGAGAAAGTTGTAAGAGAAAAGGAATGAGCCATGGCTTGCTCAACCCAAGGTCTTTGTGCATAATATGCCTCAGAGCCCCACTCACGGCCTGGCTGAGTCCTGCTGACCTCTCTGGCCTCAGCTTTAATGAGGCGTCCCCTGCAAAACCTTCTCCAAGCTCTCCACCCTAGTTAGGGGCCCTTCTTCTCTGCTTCCTCATGACTCTTATTACAACGTGTTGTAACTCTCCTCATGAGGCTGTGAGGTCTGCGAGGGTGGGATCTGTGTCCTGTTCAGCCTTCTACCTGGCACTTGGCCATAGCACCTGGCACATAAGCACTCCATACATATGTTGAACATTGCACATTTGAGATATCCTCTGGTATAAAGTTTCCTCATGAGATCCATTTTGAAGGACTATTTACAGTGGGAAGACACTTTGATTTGAATGAGCCAGCCACCTCCTCCTTGAATACCGTATACATTAGAATCCATTTGCCCATCCTCACAGGCACTGATGTGATGGGACCCTTAACAGATGTGTTTATTGCAGATAGGGGTGGAGCGTAGAACAAAAAGCGAAACTTTGTCGGAGATCTTTGTGGGGTGTTGACATGGGAGGGGGCAGAAGAGTATAAAAGCAGAGCTAGGGAGATGTAAAAAGACTCTTTTTATTCCATCATTTTCCCAAGGATCAGGTGTAGAAAAAAAATACCTGTGCTGCTGAGGGTCATAGGGAGATAGACTTCAGATGCAGTTTCAGTCTTCTGAGGTCACTTCTGCTTTTGTCTACCTTTTTCAGCTTTATCTGCTAATGTGGGGGCAGGGGAGCTTTATGTATTAGTGAAATACATCTCTGTTTGCATAAAGAAACACTGGAAGGATATACAGGAAACTAATAAAGTGGTGACTTCCAGGGGATGGAGGGGAGGATCCTAATAGACTAGGGTAGCAGTGGAGATAAACTTCTCAACGATTCCTTTTGATATTATTTTGATTTTTGAATCATAAGAATATGTAAGTTATTCAAAAATAAAATAAAATTACATCTAAAAATTTTTCCTTGAGAAGAAAAATAACCCCTCAAATATTTCTTACTTTCACCCACTTAAGTGGAGGAAAAGACTCACTGTTCGTCTATTCTACCCTTTTACACATTCTCATGGAAAAACCATGAGACCTGTGTATAATAACAAAATGTTGCTGTGTGAGCAGGGCTCTTTTTGGAGGGAGTGGCATTATATAACATTTGCTTTTGCACGAAGGATATTGGTGATTCCTATTTGAACCAAAATGGATGCATATATTTCAATCCAATTAGAAAATTACAAGACCCTAATACTGATGTGGTAAATATAGAAACCTAGATATCGCAAGGGAGAGCAGATTATCTGCAATCAACTACGTGGATAGCGCAGCAGCAGCCACTGATGAATGAGAGAACAAACTGCTTCCTTCCAAGTGTGGGACTTCTAGCCATCTGCAGGTATGGATGCACAGCAGAAATTTTGTCGGTTGCCGCTTGCTGCATGGATGACAGAATTTGGAGTAGAAGCCTGAATTAAAGTATTCAGGTCACATACTACTTTTGGTTCACAAATTCCAAATTCACTCATCCTTACTGATTCTCTTAATAGATTACTAGTAAGAAGCAACGAACTCTCCATAAAAACGACAGTTGGAGGACTGTGTGGCATTCCCTCAGAAGAGCAGAGCGGATTTACCTATTTGGAAAGCAGTTTGCACTCATCAGGAGAATTCTTGTATCCCATCAGTGCTTTGAAGCCTGCTTTGAAAATGACTGTTAAAATTACTGCATAGGCAAAAATGTATAAGCTACTATGCCCTGAGATAGCCAAAGTCCTAGAGAATTGGGACTCTGTGATCAAAAATGCTACTCACCCAAATCATGCTTGTTCCCAGTGAGGAGCAGCCCTTCAAATGATGAAGGTCCTTCTGAAGCATCAGTGTTGGCATCTGGGACACTTTTTCTAGAAAGAACTTGCTGTGTGAACTGCAAACACTTGGGAAAATCTTTTCACAAGGAAGTTCTAAGAGCTGAATAAGCATTGAGGAGCTCCAGCCCTACTCTAAACTTTCAATCATAACCAAACTTCCCATGGCAATGCTATGGTAGAGCTTTTGAAGCAGTGGCTTTAGACCCACTTGTTTCACTGTGCTCTGGTCTTCTCAACTCTCTTGTCTTAAGATCTCGCCAGCAACTGCCCTCTTTTTTCCCCTATCTCTTAGGTCTGATTCCTTACTCATCTTTTGGGCTTGGGGACCCTCTTGGGCTTCCCCAGCTTGGACCTTTTCAGGCTGTCATTCGTGACTTGCACCTACTGTCTTGTTCTTCCTCTGTCTGTCCATTTCAGTTATCTACTCACCTGACCCACCTGCAGTTTCATTTCCAGTTCCAGCAGCCCAGAAGGGAGGTGAGATGCAGCCAAACGTCATCTTCAAGTCTCCTGAATCCAAACACACCGGCCACAGTTAACCATCATGTACACCTAGGGACAAGTCTGTGTTCAGCCATGTGCTGTGGATCTGTACTTTGTAGGAATTAAGAATATGTGTGAATTTGAGGTTGATAGCTAGGTAAATACTGAATTATTTCCATATCACTTGGTATAGCCATCTGCCCACCACCATGACCACCTAGACCCTTCCCCAGAACTCTCTGGACCTTCCCTTAATCCTGCAACTTAAGGGGCAATGCCTGGCCAACTGGGGGTGGGAGGATGCCAGTGGGGCTTTGATTGGGTACCCTGGCCAACATTATTTTTAATTGGTTGATGCCTGAGCCATACTAGTTGATATAAATCTTAAATATCAACCCTGTGCAAATGTGCTGTAGTCTTAGACATTTCCATATAAAAAATGAAAAAAGCCAGACATGTGACTGCCATGTCAAATATTCTCAGCCTGCAGTTTCTTCTCTTCAAAGGCCACCCCAGAGGCATGAATGTTGGTTTGCAACAAGGAGATGATTTCATAAATATTGCTCTTCGCCAAATCCCCGGAGGCCCTTGAAGGTTGGGTGCTAATAAAGCTTGAATTATTATTAAGCGTGTGGTCTATGTAGGTCATTGCCAACTACTGGCATGATGAAAAGTAAAGAAAAACAAAGCAGACACAATAACCCCAGATAGAGCGTGGATGAGGAACTGCAACCCCGTTCTCCAAACAAGAAACACACCTGAAATCTCTTCTTTTTTTTGTCTCAAAACCAAGAAGGACTTGATTTTCCCACCTGTAAAATGAGGGTCATAAGAATGACCTCCTTCACTAGTGTTTTAGGATTTTCGATGATATGCTTTTTTAGAAGAAGGGGGGCAGCCAGGAGAAATAGAGTTGGTAGACTCATCTTTATCCTGTAGCTTTAAGTTTTTAGTTGCTGACACATTGTTGCAGTGTTTGGCTTTTATTTTACCCAGCAGCCCCAGAAAGGGGGTGTGGTGGAAGTAGCAAAAGGAAATGCTCCAGGAATTCAAGGTCTTGCCTGAAGGAAACTGCAGATGCCTTAGTCAGATTCTGCCTGGAGGCTCTTTTCCAGATGTTCACAGGAAGATGACCCACGTCAAACTTTCGGTCACTTGGACAAGTTTCAGGATTGTTCTTTAGGGAGACCTCTTCCTGAGCAATGAGGAACATGTGCATTTCCCAAGCATCCTGTTGGGTGGTGATGTTCACTTCCTTACCAAGGTGCTTCCAGCTGAAAGGGTGTCAGTGCAGGCAGGAGAGGCAGATGAATGGTCTGGGGCCTGGGATTAGGCATCTGGAGGAAGATGGTGGGATTGGAGGTATCTGGGGTTACTGCTGGATCCTAGATTTGGAAAGATGCTCTGGGGGAGAAGGCGGTAGATCTACTTGTGCTAAGATGGTCTCTGGCAAGAAGATTCCAGGCTGGGTCGAGAGTCTCCTCTGACCCTAGCAGAGAATGGGAATCCTTAAGAAGGAAGTGTAGAAAGCTCAGGAAGAGAGGAACTCAGGCTAAGCTAGAGGGAGGAGGGCAGAGCTGGGGGAGTTGTAGCACAGTGGAGACCACTCTGAGCCCTAAGCATGCTCCTTTTTTTAAAAAAAGAAGAGAGAGAGAGAGAGAGAAACTCAGCTAGTGTTTACTTCGTCCTGTCTTACAGAATATTTGAAGTGAACCTGTACCTTTAGTTTCATTTATGTATGAAATAAACACGTGTATTATTTGGTGCCAGGTAAAGTTTTAACTCATTTCACAAGTTTTAACTCATTTAGTACCCATGACAGTTGGAGGTAGTTAGTATGGTTATTCCCATTGCACCATGAGGAAATGGAGGCACAGAACGGTTGAGTGACTGGTGCCCACAGTTGTACGACTGGTGAGGAGGAGCTGAGATTGGACTCTAGGCAGCCTGGCTTCCAAATCTGTGCTCTTGACCCTTGACTTAGATTTTTTAAAGTAGACTTTATTTTTTAGAACAGATTTATAGAAAATTAAGAAGACAGTATTGAGAGTTCCAATATATTCCCTATCTAGTTTATGCTATTATAAGCATCTTATGTTAGTATGGCACATCTGTTACAATTAATGAAGCACTATTGATACACTATTATTAACCAAAGTTCATAGTTCATTTGGATTTCCTTAATTTTTACCTAATTCTTTTTTTCTGTTCCAGGATCCTATCCAGAATTCAATATTACATTTAATCATAATTTGTCCTTGGGCTTCTCTCGGCCGTGACAGTTTCTCCAACTTTCCTTGTTTTTGATGACCTTGATGATTTTGAGGAGTGATGGTCAGGTGTCTGGGGATGTGTCTGATGATTTTTTCTCATGATTAGACTGGGGTTCAGTCCTTGATTCTTGATAGGTATAATGCAGAATTCCACACTAGTTTTGTTTTTTGTTGTTGTTGTTTTACATACTTGTTTCTTTTTGGAGGAAGAAAGAGACTCCTGTTTTGTAGTTGTTCTGGGTCATCCGGTTCCATTTAAAAAGAATAATCTTAACACGGACTCTCCAGTAGCTATGAGGCAAAAGGGCCCTTGGTCTGTGTTAGCCTCCATATTTCAGGATTGCAGGTTGCATTCGGCTCCTTCGCACCCCCGGCTGGCCCTGTTCATTCATCCCTCTTAAAACTGGGCCCTGGCACAGAAAAAGGTAAAAGGAACACTGTTGGGGGCTTGGCACTGTAGGGCTCTGCCCTACCCACTTATCTGTCATCTGGTTGTACTCGTTTCCTGGTAAGCAACTCTTCCTCATGCCTTTTTCTTACCCCACTCAACCCAGAGTAACAGCCTGCAGCATGCACATGGCTAGCTGCCTCCCAGCTCTGGACCCTTGATGCTGTCTCTGTAACCTCTTGTGTTTTTTCTGCTGTCTCTGCAGAGGCATCTCCTCAGTTACTCCTGCATGTGCACATCTGTAGGATTGCCACCCCCACCACCTTCCTTAGGACCCAGGCACCCAGCAAACCCACCATCCCAGGCTACAGCACTGTCAGATGCCTCCTTATAGTCCAGACTGGGGTCACATCCATTTTTTCTTCTCAAAGGGAATTCAGATCATAAAGATATTTACATATGGGAGAAGTGCTTGAGATATGGTCTTGAGATTATAAAAATACACTCAACCTTTTAAAACCATAGCAACACAAGAGACAAGAAGGCTGAAAATTAAAGTGCATTTAAAATATGGCTATAGGCTACAGGTTTCGAAATAGTTTTTTAGGAAAACAATTAGAGGGAATAGAGTCCTGCATTCATTCTCACCTGTATCACCTCCCAGCTCAGAGCCTCACCAAGCTCTAAGCCCAAACCCCAATACATGTCTGTTAGCTGCATGAGTGAATGAACCTAAAGAAGGCATTTCCCAGCTGCCTCCAACAGGTCATAGCCCATCTCTTCTCCATCCCTTTTCCTCCTTTCCTTTGGTCTGGACAGTCAGATAACAGGTTTGTGGCTCATGTTACCTTCTCCACCCTCCTTGTGCTACTCCGAGTTCTTGGCCTCAATTCTTCACCTTTTGCCGCATCCACACCCTTTGCCATGGAACTTTGCTGATTGTTTCACAACTTGGGAAGAACAACTTCCCCACCCCTTGACTTTGGGCTTGGCCGTGGAATATTAGCAGGTGTGACGCACAGAGGGGTTGAAATGTGCTTGTGGGACTGTGTGTGTCCTCTTGTACCTCTGCCATTGCCATGAGAAGAGCATGCCCCAGCTAGCTTGCTGGTCCTGGGAGGACAACAAGCATGTGGAACAGATCTGGACCAAACTGTAGCCTGGGGCACAACCCCACTGATCCAAGCCAAGATCAGCCAAATACCCACTGATCTGTGATGTGTGAGCAAGAAACAAATGCTCAGGGGTATGCTACTGAGGTTTGGGGTTGTTTGGTGCCCAGTAATAGCTGATGGAGACACCACTCTACCTTCCAGTCTGTCTTGGAAATCTATACAGGCAGAAGGCTTCTGGGAAGAGGAGTCTTCATGTCAAATCCTGTCCCCGGAGACCATTCCTTCCTTATGTGAGCCTAGTGTGACTCACCACTCCCAGAAAGCATTAGTGTGTTAGTAGCCATAGTAATTAGCGTTTACCTGGGGTTTTATTAGCAGGAGGTCACTGTAACATACAACTGTCTTAGGCGGTAGAGAGGCCAGGATTATTGCACCCATTTTGCAAAGAGAAAATAAAACACTCAGACAAAGTGAGTGAATCACCAGGGCTGGATGAGGAGGCAACTGTCTGAAGGGAGAATGAGATAAAGGAGTTCCTTACACCCAGGGGGAAGTCACATTTGTGTGTGCGTATTTTTATTTTTATAACTTTTTCATCATAAAAGGGGATGTATGTCAATCATAGAAAAATAGGAAAATGTAGAAAGCATTGAAAAAGTTCCTGTACTACCTACTAGTGTTTTTATTTATTTTTCTTTATTCTAATGTGTGTATATTTGTTATATACCTTTCATAAGTTAGAATTATGTTGTATATAAAAGCACTTTCCCCATGACATTTAACTTTCTTTAAAGACCTAGTTTCTAATGTGTAGTATAATGTTCTATAGACTAATTCTAAGTTGTGTAAGTAAGCATTCTCTATTTTTGTAAATGTAGCTTGTTTACAATTTTTTTTCTATTAAAAACAATGCTTTTGTGAACATCTTTGTTGGTGTGGGAGATAATTTATGTATTAAGTGCATGGCACATTGTATACTCCCTTCAGCATAATAAATGGTAACTAGTATAAATATTTGCCCAAATCCCTGATTATTTCCTTTAGAGCAAACTTTTAGATGAATTTGCAGAGTTAATGAGTTTTAATATTTAAGCAGTTTTTGATACATGTTGTTGAATTGCTTTCCAGAAAGGATGTCGCATTTATTTTACTAATGATAGGGTTGAAGGAGCCCATCTCACAGCCTCCTGGCTAGCACTGAGTATTCTCCAGAAAAAAAAAAAAAAGTACTGCTAATTTGACAGGTGAAAAAGAGTAGCTCTTTGTTGCATTGTTGATTACTAGTGAGGCTAAAAATTCCTGCAAAATTATTAACCATCAGTAACAGGATGACTCAGAGGGACATTTGGGTCAGGCCCTGGCTAATAAATAGTTTTGAATGAATGAATTATCAAAGGCGGCCATGCTGCGGGTTTGAGTAGAATTGCTAAGTCTAGATGCTAAGGACTGGAGTGGTTCAAGTATTGACTTTATGGGCAGGAGTTTATTCCCAGTCCTGCCTTGCTCAATGGAAAGTACTTTCCAATGGACAACATTCTGACACAGAAGTGAGACAGGACTGAGAAGGGGATGCTGGTCTTTGGAGTTGGCCGATCAGTCAGTGAGAGCCCCAGTCAAAAAAGGAGCTGGGAAAAAGCCCCTGGTCAGCTCCTTGGGAACCAGGGCCGCCAGTGGTGCTCTCACTCCTCCAGGCTCCCCTCAGCACCTCCAGTGCACGTGGGGGTCCCTGGGGATCCATCAGGTGTATTTGGACCTACAGGCAAGTCTGTTCTCAGGGAGCATGTGTGAATGTGAACTCAAGTTTTCCCATCTGATGATTTTGTGAAATGACTCAGCCACCAAACTCGTTGAACTAGACCAGCCCCTGCCACACTCCTGTGTTTCTGTTCCTCTAGGCATGGCTGACACCCTCCTGTCCTTCCCCATGACTTCCCAACCCCAAACCAGAGTTCTCTTGCAATCGCTTACTACCCTGTGTTGTCACTTTTTTCATTCACAAGTTACACTCCTCCTCTTGATACAAGCTACTTGAGAGTGGAGATAGGATTTTATTATCTCTGTGTCTTAAACAGATATGAGTGTGAGAATGAATGAATGACCCAGTAGCATCTGGAGTACACCAAGAATAAACAAGGGCCTCAGAATCTCGTTGGGAGAAACAGCCAAAGTTTATTCTTTATCAATCTGTTTCACCACAGAGTTTTGCTGGATAGAAAAGTTATACCTCAGATATTAGGTTCTGTGGTTGGTCAGGTATTTGGCAGACAGTACATCACACATCCTGGTGCTCTGAAAGGTTTCTGTTTTTGCTCTGCTTTGACTTTGCACTGAGAGCCAAGTCTCAGCAAAAGGAGGATTTTGTTTTAACCACCTGCCCAGCTTTCTTCTAATGCAGTGGTCCTCAAACATTTTTGAGAATCAGAATCACCTGGAGGGCTTGTTAAAACACAGAAAGCTGAGTTCAAACCCCTAAGTTTCTGGTTTTATCATTTCTAACAAGTTCCCACTTGGTGCTGTGGCTCCTGGCCTGGGACCACAGTTTGAGAACCACTGGTCCACATGTTTTCATCTGGCCCTGGACAAGATGCAAGGTTAACCTCCCAAATCCAAGAAAATAGGTATATAGAATATTTGGCCACTGTGCCAGGGCCCAGCTCTGCTCATCCCCATGTCAGGACTGGGCTATCTTTTTTTGGCAGGGAGGCATAAGCAGACTGGGCCATCCAAGCCTGGGTTAGAAGGCCTTCAGGGCCTACAAATCACTGTTGCAGGGTCTGAAACCTTATCAGGGTATTCAGTAGCTTCCTGTAGAAGCACATAAAGTTGAAGGAAGATAGAATTTTATATCCTGAGAAAACCCCAAGCTCTAGGACCCCAACTTTGTCCATGAGGCAGTGGCCAGGTGTCTCACCTGCCCCCTTCCAGAGCTCATTCAAGATATGGCCCAGCTCATGGTTGTCCATGAGGGCCTCTGGGTCCTCTCCAGTCTGTGACCTTGATCTTTATAGAAAAAGCTGAGAACCTAGGCTAAGACTTGCTTTCCACCGGCATCATCATCACACTTTAAATAAAATCTGAACTCCTTACCATGGCCTGAGGGTGCTTGGTGCTTGGACCTTGTCTCCCTGCTCTCCAACTGGTCAACTTCACTGCTGTCCCTCAAAAACCAGACTTGTCCCACCTGGCACCGCAGCTGCTCTGCCTAAAAGCTGGAACCCCACAAGGAACACTAGGCTGGCTATTCAGGCATCTCCTCTCCAGAAAGAGCTTCAGTTCACCCTCTATAAAGCAGCCCCGCCTTCCACCTGTACTTCTGTCCCTAGCTTCCCAGTACTTGTCACCATCTGCTACATGCTTACTAATCTGTTTACTTGTTTATGATCTGCCTGCCTGTCCCCTCCAGAATGTGAGCCCCACGAAGGCAGGAACCTTGTCTGCCTTCCTCAGCTGTGTCCCCAGCATCTAGAACATGCCTGGCACATTGCGCATGTTCCATTGAGATTTATAGAATACACTTGTAGACTCTGCCAGATATACCATGGAAGGCAGGGTCTGAAATGCTTAAATAACATACCCTAGACCTTGACTTGGAAATCCAGAATCAAGCTCCAGGTTCACTTCCTAACAACTTGTTCAGATGATAGGTCATAGGTGAGGCTTCTGACCCCACCCCTGTTGCTCTGGACGGGCCCCTCAACTTGTGTTGGCCCGACCTGCCTCACCTGCCAGCGGGTTGGATAACATTTGTGTTGCCCGTCCCCAACACTATGTCAAGGTCCAAAGGTAGTAGCTGCTGGGAAAGTGCTCTGCCAGGAAAAAGGTGTGGGGCAAATTTGAGTTTGGGGCTGGTTGTACATCCCCATGGCTTTAAAATCTGCACATGGCATTTAATTTTAAATGAATTCTCCGTTCTTGTTGTGGTTTAAAAAATTAAGTAGTATTTAACTTCTTCATAAGCATAAGGCAAGTTAATGACAGACTAAAAATCTAAGGAGCTACATTGGAAATAGGAATTCTGGAATTTGAGGCTCTGCCAAGGAATTCTTTCCTTGGTCATTTTTTTGGCCTTCATTTCCTGACCCATGAACACACTTCCCAGGAACAGTTAGGGGAAGACCTTAAAAAGCAATTTTATTTGACCTCAGATCAATAGCTTGCTTAGGGAGATCTGAACTCCCTATCCAGCCTGATATGAAGTCCTGTTTAGCCATCTGGCCTCCCACTTCTGACCTCAGCAGGGAATTAAAGGAGAAAAGTTCTTGTGGTGAAGTCCTTGGGGTAGGGTTGCCAGAGCTAGCAAATAAAAATACAGGATGCCCAGTTACATTTGAATTTCAGATAAGCAACAAAAATGTTTCACTATAAGTATGTCCCATGAGATATTTGGGACATACTTATACTAACAAAAGAGTATCTGTTATTTATCTGCACTCTGGATTTAACTGTATGGCCTCTATTTAATCCAGCAGCTGTAGTCTTGGACACCCCCTCCTATCTGCCAGTCTTTGGTCCTAGGAGGAACAGGAAGACTACCTGCACTTTTCCTAACCTGTTTTATCCTACAAATGGGAATGTTTTGCTATTAGTCTCCACTCACTCCAGCCCCTTTTGACTCTCTCCTGGTCCTGGCCTGTGGGTCATGGGCAATAGATGGACGTGACCTTAAGTAACCCACCTGCCAGGGCTGCTGCTGAAATGCTGCCCTTGGAATCAGCAGGGTACTTACCAAAGCCTGATGCCAGCAAAATGCTCAGTTTGTAAAACAAACCAGGGCAGGAATGTGTTATAGCTGTGGGAGCATTTGATTCTTAGATAAAGGGCCTAGGATACCCAGAACACTCCCTTGAATGCGGAGCCAAACTTCTGGGTCAGCTTATTTATTTTGGTATTACTAAATACCACTTTGATTACTAATAATACCTTGCACTCATGTTGTGCTTTTCATCTAGGGATCTCTAGGTGCTTTATTAACATTAGGCAACATAGCCTTAGAACCCTTGGATTACATAATTGTACAGAGAGATTTTTTTTTTTTCCCTGAGATCGAAGGCTTGGCCCTTCATGGAAGAGACCTGGACAGAAGTTAGAAATAGTTAAGCCCAAACCTGGCCTAGGTGATAGACATTTGGGTACATATTCCCCACCCCCCCCCCCTTTTTGGACTGCTAGCCTCTCAAGTATAAGATTAGTACTGCCTTCCCCCTACTTGACCTTTTTTTTTTCTTCTTAGGAACCCTCAGCATTTAGCACAATAACTGGAACATGACCAGTGCTCAGTATATGTTTGCTTACATCAGTGGATGAATGATGAACAAATAGATGAACCTGGAAGAAAACTCTGGGTTCCTTCTTTCCTTTAATTTCTTATGTGAGGCAGGATTCTGTCAGCCCCATGTCCATATATCCTCAGATCTTTTTGCCCCTTCTGGGCGCATCAGCTCCCTGTGCCTCCTCCCCAGCTGCACCTGCCTTTCTTTGTTGGAGGATGGCCAGCAGCTACCAGAACCCCTTTGCTCGCATGCACCATGGGCTGCAGACCTGAACCAATGGCTGGGGGATGCAGGGACAGAAATTCTCCCTCATCCCTGATGGGGACACTTGGGTGTGCCCTCTGAGAGACTGTGCCAATATCACCCTTCAGGGGACTCTGCTTGGCATCAGAACCTTTGTTTTTCTTCCCTTCTCAGTCCCTTTCCCCACTCTACTCAGGATTTCCTTGAGAATACATCCTAGTGAGTCACTTGCACCAGAATCTTCTCTCAGGGTCTGCTTCTCAGAACCTAGCTTGATTGAAATGGGGGCATTTGAATTTTTTTTTTTTTTTTTTTTTGAGATGAAGTTTCATTTTGTTGCCCAGGCTGGAGTGCAGTGGTGCGATCTTAGATCACTGCAGCCTCCGTCTCCCATTCCCAGGTTCAAGCAATTGTCCTGCTTCAGCCTCCTGAGTAGCTGGGATTACAGGCGTCCACCACCATACCCAGCTAATTTTTGTATTTTTAGTAGAGATGGGGTTT